TTAGTAACTACCAATCAGAAGTGATTTAGTGTGTATATGGGCGGGGCCTGGAGAGACTAACGTTACGTGTTCCCAGAAGGTGTGATTAAAAGGAAGAGGACACATAAAAAAAATAATAATAATTCCCTGCACTGTTATCAAGAAGGTGAAAAAAAACAAAAAAAAAAAAAACATACACATAAATCCAAATGTCAAAACCGGGAAGTTAACCCGATCCACAAATGTTCGGTAAATTCAGATGTCGAAGGTGTATTATACAATACACACACAACACACACAATACACACACAATACACACACAATACACACAATACACACACAACACACACAATACACACACAATACACACACAACACACACAATACACACACAACACACACAATACACACACAACACACACAATACACACACAATACACACAATACACACACAACACACACAATACACACACAATACACACACAATACATACACAACATACACAACACACACTGACACAAGACTGGCTCAGAAACAGCTGTCACACTGACACCTACAGACAGACAGACAGACAGACAGACAGACAGACAGACAGACAGACAGACAGACAGACAGACAGACAGACAGACAGACAGACAGACAGACAGACAGACAGACAGACAGACAGACAGATAACGAAGCTTTGCTGTAAAACAGGCAAAACGCAATTATGTCACTCAGACGAACGAGAAAAAAAAATGTGTTATCTCGATAAGTCGGTTCTGTGGCTAAGTCGATGCGAACGCTTCGTAATGCCAGGTTCGATCCCAACTGCAGGCCATGCGCCTTGCGTTGGTTTCAACAGTGGTATCACGGGGCTGACCGGCCAGAAAGCAATCAATGGCAAACTACTGGACGTAAATTTGCCCCTAGAAACCACACAACAGGCGCTGCTAGGGTTGGTCCTGCAACGTCTTATAAAGGATACGCAACTAACCTGTCTCGATTATGTCTGCCATTTTGGTCTGATGTTGGTCAAGGCACAGCGGAGATCACTCTTCGCCTCAAGCTTGCAACGCTTTTTATTTTCATGATTTCTAAAGCTGAAAATTCGCATTGACAAATGTGTGTGAAGGAAATGGCAAAAGAACATTTATAGCTAATTTGGCCACAAGGTGAAACATTGTAAAATACTGTGGAACCCACCCACCTATCCCCCCCCCCTCCCCGCCCCCGCCTAAAGAAAAACAACAACCAGTAAGCCTAAAAATGTAAAATTGTCTTTAACCAGTGATGTAAACTTTATCCTAATTGTTTTTTATTGAGTATACTAGCTATTTAATGTCAATAATAAAACGATAATAGAAAAGAACTTGAATACAATTAGAACTTATTTGTGGCATTCGTAGACCAGGAGAAGGCATTTGACAGAGTCGACAGACAATTATTATGGAAAATAATGGCAATATATGGAGTAAGCGAACACCTCGTCGAAGTGTGCAAAAGTTTATACAGGGATTGTAGAAGTGTAGTTAGAATAAATCAGGGAACATCTCATCCTTTCACAGTGACATCTGGAGTAAGACAGGGGTGTGTCTTATCACCACTGCTGTTTATCACCTATATCGACAGTATATGCAAGAATGCCAAGCCCATGAATGAAGATCTTAGTAAGATCAAAGAATTACTCTTTGCAGATGACCAGGCCTTGATAGCAGATACAGCCATGAAATTGCAACAACATCTAACATCCATGAATGAAGAATGTAAAACAAATAATATGAGAATCAACACTGAAAAGACAGAAGTAATGTCAATAGGAAAAAAGAAGACAGATCTAAACATAGCAATAGAATACAAAGGCATTAAACAGGCATCTGAGTTTAAATATCTGGGAACTACATTTATCGAAGATGGGAAATTGGATAAAGAAATTGACATTAGATGCAGTAAAGTAAACCAAGTACTGGGACAGCTAGCCCCCTCTTACAGCATAAGATAATCCCAATCAGCACAAAGAGACATCTTATTCAAAGCATATTTATTCCAACTCTGTGCTACCAGTGCCAGACATGGTCTCTCACAACAAACCATAAAAGAAAATTAGTAACCACGGAAATGAGATGTCTGAAAAGGGCTGTAGGAGTGACCATAAGAGATAAGATCATGAATGAGATCATAATAGAACAAGTCGGCACATAACCAATTCTGGATTACATACAAAGACAGCAAGTGAAATGGTTTGCCCATTTAGAGAGAATGCCTTGTGACACCATACCATACAAAGCATACATGGAAAGAGAAGAAGGACGTAGAGCACGGGGTAGACCAAGAACAAGATGGAAGGATAACATCAGAGAAACTCTACAACAGCACGATGTGCCTATGGTAGAGGCAGCCAGAAGAGCTAGAAACAGAACCTTATATCTCCCTCGACACCCACAGCGGTAAAAGATGAAGTGAAGAAGAAGAAGAAGAATAAAACGATTTATCACCAACTTGCAGGACTAGTCATAGAAATGATAGATAGGGAAAATTTAGATTGAGCTCCTCTATCAGAAAATCTAAATGCGAGTGAATTTTAATAGCACCTACTTCTCAATTAAGACTCGATGGGCTTGTCATATTTTTCGAATGCCTGATCATTGGCTCCCAAAAATAATCTTCTATAAAGAGAGATACATGAAGGTCGACGTTCTCATGGAGCCAGAAGAAGCGCTTCAAGGACAGGCTAGAGGCATCATTGAGAGCCTTCAGTATAAACCCTGTCACCTGGAAGGCTGCAGCACAAGACCGGACTTTATGGTGCACATGTATCCAGGAATGTGCAAAGATCTGCGAGGCATCAAGAGCAAGAACTGATGAACAACGAAGACAGACCAGAAAGAACTGTCAAACAGGCCATTTGTCTACAGACCCTGTGCCCTACCCTCATTGTCCTAGACTCTTCCAGGCACGTATTGGACTTATAAGTCACCTCCAGGCTCACAAACTTTCAGCTGCAGTTTCATGGAAGTGCCATTCTCCTCAGACCGTAATGAAATAATTGTGCCTCCGCATTGTTCACTCGCTCCCAAAAAGCACTCACACTGACCAGTCTATCTGCCTGTTCGATTCCCAACACACCAGCATCACCTGGAGGAAATTTCCAAAGGACCCTGACTGCCTGGGTTTTCTGAAGCGATGCTTGCCATTCTGCACGAAGCCTGCCTGTCTCCACCTTTCGAAATGCCGGGGTGCCGGGTTCGACCCCAGCTGCAGGCCTTGTGTCTTGCGTTGGTTTCGACAGTGTTATCGAGAAGCCGACCGTCCACGCAGCAATGGCAAACTACTGGACGTAAATCGGCTCAGAAAAACCACAACAGCCCCCCCCCCCAAAAATATGCAATGTCCCGTAAAGGATACGCAACTAACTTTTTGTCAGTTACAATGACGACATGTGTGTAGACAGCTGACTCTCCAGCCATCGGAAGGCAGCAGTGACTGCCCTATCACAAGTGTACAAATGCGCTGTTTTCAAAATTCCTTAGGCCCCTTTGTAACCTTCTTGCGCCCCAAGAGGGCGATCTCTAAGGGGGCAAGCAAGCAAGCAAGCTGAAAACCACTGATTTAAATGGACAAATTACGTCGGGCTGGGTAAAGGATATTTATAATTGTGCTGTACTGTTCAGTATAAAGTTTACCTTTACCACAATAGTAATTTACTACTCTGTCAGTGAGTACCAACGTCAACTGTCACTGTGAGGCTTAGCGGCTTGCATCGTAAGTTGTTTCCCCTCTTTTTCTTCATAATACACAAAGTATCGGGGTTCAGTCATGACCCTCTTAATGAAAAATTAAACGGTCACTGTTCAGTGTTATTTCGGGGGGTTTATTAAAAGAATGTTTTGACATTGATAAAAGAAACACAAGGGAAGATCGATCGTATTTTCCCCATGTAATATTCTAGATGACATCAGGTGATGCATAACCTCTATCTTTAAGATGGCACAGTTTTTGTGTAAAAGCTTTTATTAAGTTCACTGTCTTTACAATAATTGTTATCGTAACGTTGCTAATGTTTGTGATATGTGTTTTAATATAACTTTTAAATAAGTTCACCGTTTTGGCAGTTGGTGTTCAGGAGTAAGTTTTAATTAACGTGACTATTTTGAAGGAGACAAATACTTTTCTTAGGCCACGTAATGAGAAGAGGGGCATTGGAAAACATCGTGACAACTGGAAAGATTAGTGAAAAGAGGGGTAGAGGCAGACCAAGAGAGCTGTTCCAGGCAACCAGGGATCTTCATCTGTGGAGATGCAAAAGCGCTTACGACATTTGGAAAAGCACGTAATGATGATGCTGATGACTATTCTGACAACAAGAAGCCATTGTGACGTAGTGGCTAAGCGCTAGTCTGTGGGTCTGAAGGAAGTGGGCTCAAATCCGAAATGAGGGGGATTTATTTCTTTAAAAAATGACTTTGGCTCCCAAGTCTATTCAACTTCAACTGGGTATCAGGTGATGTCTTAGAAAGTAAAGGCAGCCGGCGTGATGCTGACCACATCACCCACCGATTGACGATTGGTCTATAAAATATAGGTCTAGCCCTATATGCCCAATACACCTGAAGGTATGGAAAAGAATTCTTTTACTATTTTGACAATAAGATTTTAATTAGAGGACAGTTTGTGTTAACTCTTGCAAACCCAGGCATATGTTATTCTCACTATGTCAAAAAAAAAAGTATTACGTTAATAAATGTTTCTACAGAAGGGAATTTAAATATAAACACTATATGAGAGAAAGGGTTAAAATAACCATAAACACAGTGCGAGTTGGTGTAACAACTGACTGGAACATATGTAGTTAAAAAAAACAAAATTAAAACAAAAATGAAAATACTGACAAACAAGTTTTTTGGGAATGAAGAGTTGAAACGTGATTTTTTTTAAAAATATAGTTGGGACAAGTACACAGGCATCTGTTCTCCTTCAGGTGAACAGCAACAATAATTTGAAGGTCGCTACTCTGACATCAGCTGGGAACTCACAATCGCAGTGATGTTTAATAAAAGTATTCAGCAGAAAGGGTGGCTGGTGATCCCTCTCCTCTACTGCATAGTCCTGTTGCACACCTGTACAGGAGAATACCCACAGCTGGACAAGTTTCTTGGCCGCTGGCTGGAAGTGAGGAAGGAAGGATTTGAGAAAGTTGCAAATGACTTGGGTAAATTTATTAATCTGTCTGTCTGTTTCTGTATTATTCACTATTTTTTTATCATGCTTATCCGCAATCTGCGATCAGCAACTGAGTGTGTCAGTTCGTGTGTTGACACCCCTTTTCCCTCCTTTTGCCCCCTCCCATGACAAAAGACTGTCAAGAATCGTTTGTCTGCCCTCTCTCTCTCTCTCTCTCTCTCTCTCTCTCTCTCTCTCTCTCTCTCTCTCTCTCTCTCTCTCTCTCTCTTTCTCTCTCTTGTTCTCCACAAATCTTCCGAGTGGTCACATTTTCCATTTCCCCCTTGTTCTTAACATGACCAAACAATGATGACTGTCTCTTTCTGATGTTTGTTGTCTTCGAGCCTTCGCCTCTTTCAAAATATCTGGCTTGTCTGTTTTTTTTTTTTTTTAGTTGTCCAACGAATTATCAGGATGTGTTTGTAAAACCAACGGCTTCAAAAACGTGTTCGGCTTGTGTATTAAAAGACTGACAAGATAAGAGTGACAAGCTTAGGAAATTGTTTTGCTTGCCTGTTTTCTACCTGTCTTTTTTCTACTTGTTTATCTTTTGTGTCGGCTCTGTGGCTAAGTCGATGCAAACGCTTCGTAATGACGGGGTGCCGGTTTGACACTGGTATCAGGGAGCCGACCGTCCAGGGGCAATGGCAAACTACTGGACGTAAATTTGCCTAGAGAAACCACACAACAGTCAGGGGCTAAATGGTGCCATTGAATCTACACGGGTGACTTTCAAATAGACAGCCCACTACTTTGTGTGGCATCTGAGTGAATGACTGATTTCACAGATGGTCAGATTTTAAAAAGAAAAGATTTCATAATTATATAAAATGGTCAGATTAGAAAAGTAAATCTTTCACAAATACATATCGTGGTCAGATTTAAAAAGTGATATTTCACAATTACAGACCAAGTCCAATTTAAAAAGTAAATCTTTCACAGAAAAATATCATGGATAGATTTAAAAGTACATATAGCTCAGATACATATCATGGTCACATTTAAGAAGTAAATATTTCACAATTACATATGAAAGAAAAGAAGAAAGAAAGAAAGAAAAGAAAGAAAAAAGAAAGAAAGAAAAAGAAAGAAAGAAAGAAAGAAAGAAAGAAAGAAAGAAAGAAAGAAAGAAAGAAAGAAAGAAAGAAAGAAAGAAAGAACGAAATAAAGAAAGAAGCGGAAGTAGAAGAAAAGGAGGAGGTGGAGAGAATAAGAAAATGAGGAGGAGCACGAAGAGGAGGAGGAAAAAAAAAGAACTTTACATTTACCTTGTTATTTTTGCAACAGGTAAAACTATTGGTAAGTACTCTCTACATTTGTATAAATTGTTAAATAGAAAACAGAAAGACCGACAGGCATACATACAGACAATCAGGCAGATGGACGGGTGGACAGACAGACAGACAGACAGACAGACAGACAGACAGACAGACAGACAGACAGACAGACAGACAGACAGACAGACAGACAGACAGACAGACAGACAGACAGACAGACAGACAGACAGACAGACAGACAGACAGACAGACAGACAGACAAACAGACAGACAGACAGACAGGCAAACAGACAGACCGACAGACAGATGGATGTACAGATATTATCTTTCCATCGTCTTCTTGGTCTGCCTCATAGTCTACGACAATTCAATAGCAAATTGCTGAACGAAAAGTTGCGTAGTCTTCTTCTTTCTCTTAGCGTTCACCAGGTGTACACACCGGCGGAAAGTATTGGTTGTTCGTCCACTTCTGAATATCTCTGACATGTAAGAATGTCATGGAACAACATCTCTGCCACCAATTACATGCCCGTGCGGGTTGCAGGGACCCACTGTGGGGGAAAACAAGAATTGACCCACTGCCTCCCCAACAAGCATGTCGTAAGGGTCGACTAATGTGAGCTTCCTTCGAAATCCGAATGCCTCTGCCCAAGCGGCAAGGAACCAAATCTGCACACAAGTAAGCCAGTAAAAAGATGAGCATGCAAAACTTAGGCCCAGGTACAATGCCAAAGTAAATGGACGAACAACCAGGACTTTGATGAACGAGGAAGAAGAAGGAGAAGGAGGACTCTGGTTTAGTTTAGGAACTTGCTCTTTCGTGTTACAAATCCGGCTTATTTGTATGCAGACTGTTGGTTGCTCGCCTCTCAGGCAGATGTACTTTGACTTGGAAGAAAACATCTCTAATTAGTCACTTTCTACTACAAGCTTGTCAAAGAGGCAGTGGGTCTATTCTTTTCCTTTCCAACAATGAGGCCTCGGAAACACAACCAGCTAACCAATCCTCTGATGGCTATCTTATTTGATGTTAAATTTAGCTGCATCTCTTTTATAGTAGTTGTTTTCAAGCTACCTAATGCCGCGACCTTTTAATTCATTGGCACCTTTCCGTCTTTGCAGACGATAGTGTTATATTGCGCTATGAGGAGACATGAGACTCACAGTCCATGGCGATGGCGGGTGACTAAGCAAGACCCGCACGTGTCAAGAAAAGTCTTCCACAATGATAGCATGGGATTTCAGGAGCATTGTTAACACCATTTGTGTTTAATCCGTTTCTTTTCAGACGCTCAGCACTCATCCTTTCTGCAATCATTTCTTCCTTCAGTCTCATTCTCTTCCTGATATGCCCTTTCCACACATGGTCCATGGCATTTTGTTCCCAGGAGTCCGCCTCAATACCTGTATCATTCATGTCCCGCTTGCACATATTTTTATAACGTAGTAGAGGTCGGCCTCGACATCTTCTTCCTGTCTTTAATTCACCATAACGGATGTCCTTAGGGACTCTGCCATCCTCCATTCTCCAGTTGTGACCCAGCCACCTGAGCCTTCGTAGACTGAGCATGGAAAAGACTGTTGAAGTACCTGCTCTTTCCAGTACCTCAGTGTGTGTGATTTTGTCCTGCCACTTATTGCCAAATATTCTTCTTAGGCATCGCATGTAAAAGATTTAAGCCGTCTCCCCAGGTGCAAATAGGTTGACCAAGTTTTACTGCCATAAAGCAAAAGGCTGAAAATACAAGCCTGATAGACAAGGGTTTTTCTTTTAATTGTGAGCTTTCTGTTATCCCAAACTCTCTTTGTCAGTTTGCTCATTGTTGTTACTGCCTTACCTATCCTGATGTTGATTTCTTGGTCCACTATTCACTGTGGAACCCAGATAGGTAAAACGGTCTACTGTCCCTACAGTTCCTCATATCGTGGTGAACTTTCGTTGCTATTTCATAACTTTAGTAAACATGCGTTTTCTGATGCGGGGACCCCTTTGAAATGATCATTGGACCCCAGATGGGTCACGACCCACAAGCTCAGAACCGCTGCTTCTGGGGAGGTTGCGAACCAGTGCCAGCATTTGTAGGCCGTATGTGATCATCCTGGCAATGTCACCTTTAATAGTTTGCCAGTCCTATTGAAAGGTCGCCTGTTGGTACTGTTGTCGAAATCTAGAAGAGCGATCTGCTGTCAAATCGCATGCAGCAGGAATTGAACCAAGTACTTCGGAATTACGAACCACATTGGCAACTCGCAAGCCACAGACACTGCCATTATATTATTTCTCTTCCATTGTTGTAACTTATAGTAGAAATAAGTTTTATAAACAAATGTTTACATTCGTAGGTCTCACAGATCGGAGCCGGGCATTGTATGAAAACGGTAAATCAGTTGTCGTGTACTCTAGACGTGGCGATTTGTGGACTGTACAAGTAGGAATTGAAGGGGCGCCCCATCTCCAAAGCTACACGTTCAAGTTCGGGGAACCGTACTACTCCAACAACATCGATGGGACACCACTTAAGGTGATTTCTTTTCCTTCTTTCTTCCTTCCTTCCTTCCTTAGTAGATCCCCTTTTATCAAGAGGTGTAGAGGTTTGCCAAAGAGATCGCCAGACTTCTCTACTGCAGTTTTCTTGTTGGCTTTGTTAATTTATAAGCCATGCCAGTTTGTCGCCTCTAAGATCCGTCCGGTTTTCTCTCTGTGGTAACTTGTGATTGTAAACTGAGACTAACAGGTGACTGGTCTGTTGTGCCTTTACATTGTGGCGGTACGGCCTCTCGGCCTCCATGCAGATTAACGGTCTCGAGGTATGGTGCCCGCCTCTAGTGTTGGAGGTCCCGGGTTCACGTGGACTTCTAGTAATTTCTCCTGGTCTCCTGATAGTAAGATGGGACGCCCGAGTTTATTCTTGGGCACTTAGAAAATCGCTTGGCAGTTGAAAATCAAAAACAGTAACCTAACGGAGCTGCCCGGGATACATTTGGAGTTAATAATCTACCCAAAGTATTTCAGGCCCCTCCCCGCTTCAACTGAGTTCGTGTACTGCGCTTAGAATCTTTAAACTCAGGCCTAAGTTAGAATTAAAACGGAACACTTATTGGTTACATCCGTGTGCCATGATGTTGATTTGTCGAATAAACATAAACATTATTCGCGGTTATCTGCTGTACTACCACTACTACTACAACCACTACTACCACTACTATTACCAGTACTACTGCCACCATGACTTCCATTACTACTACTACAAGTACTGCTACCACCACGACCACTACTACTACTACTTCTACCACCGCCACAACCACTACTGTTACCACTGCCACTACTACCACCACCATCACGACTACTGTTACCACTGCCACTACTACCACCACCATCACGACTACTGTTACCACTGCCACTACTACCACCAGCACCATTACTGGTACTTCAGTGGAAAGCTTTGTGTGTGTGTGTTTTTTTTTTTAAATTCTGAACTATTGTTTGGCTATGGAACTTTAATTTTGTGTGCACAGCAGTTTACAGATCTAATTATTTTATACCTACCGTTGGTTCCTAGCTACACCTCGGTGACCGGGTCGCCCATTGGCTGGCCGGTACACAACTCCGTCACTGATTGGCTGGCCGGTGCACAACTCCGTCACCGATTGGCTGGCCGGTACACAACTCTGTCACGGATTGGCTGGCCGGTACACAACTCCGTCACTGATTGGCTGGCCAATACACAACTCCGTCACCGCTTGGCTGGCCGGTACACAGCTCCGTCACTGCTTGGCTGGCCGGCACACAACTCCGTCACCGATTGGCTGGCCGGTACACAACTCCGTCACCGATTGGCTGGCCGGTACACAACTCCGTCACCGATTGGCTGGCCGGTACACAACTCCGTCACCGATTGGCTGGCCGGTACACAACTTCGTCACAGATCAGGACAGTATTTGGGTCTGTCTCTGCAGATCGCAACAACACTGCAAGTGTTTTTTTTTTTCAGATCTACTTGGTGGCGTGCAATGCTAAGTCATTTTATATGGCGCTCATAACCTAGCCACAATAATAACCTATAGGTGCCCCTTTGGGAATGCTTGTTGAACGTGACAGATATGTGTTTGTTTTAGTGAAGCAGACAGACAGCGAGCCATTTTGGTCACTCAAGCAGTTACACTTTTAATTTTAAGGAAACGATCCCAGTTACTCGCCTCTTGCTATTCAATTTTTAAAAGGCTGTAGGTCAATCTGTCCTAACCACCCCAAATGGGGACACTGAATCCAGGGAATTTAATATCACTTTACCCCGTCATTCTTCTTTGCCATTCTTCTATAAAATCACCTCTCGGTATCTGTATTATAAATTCCTCACTAGCCCATACTTCGGCAGTGCCTCTATACAATTTTCAGGAACTCCCTTTATCTGCTCAGTTGACAAACACATCTTCTTCTTTTTCGAGTTTACGCCGGCTGTAAACTTTGGCCGAAAGTTCTGGGTGTTCGTCCACCTTCGGACTTTAATCTAGTTCCATAACCAGAGTGTTATGTGCAAATCCGTTTCATACATCTGGCTTATTTGTATGCAGAATTTTGGTTTCTTGCCTCTCAGACAGACGCACTCCGACTTAGAAGGAAGCCCCACTAGTCGGCCCCTACGACATTCTTGTTGGGGAAGCAGTAGGTCTGTTCTTGTTTCCTGCCTCACAATGAGGCCCAGGAACCTATACGGGGACTATTTAATAACAATGAAAGTAACATATGTTACATGTTATCTTGAACCTCACAGAGTGTGGTACTTCCGGAAGGTGACCGCTTGGTAGCCAGATACGAGAGCCTCAGCGGGCCCTACTATGTGATGGACGTTGTCTGGGAGGTGGAGGATGATACCATGAGAAGTGTAAGTGTTTGATCTTTTATTAATTTGTAATCTGTTTGTCTAAGCTAAACGAAGTAGTAGCAGTAGTAATAGTGATGGTAGTTGTTGTGGCAGTGGTAGCAGTAGTGGTAGTTTTGGTGGTAGTCCTAGTAGTGTTAGTAATAGTGGTTGTGGTAGTCGTGGTGGTAGTAGTACTGGTAGTCGTAGTGGTAGCAGTGGTTGTAGTAGTAGTAGTGGTAGTGTTAGTAGTAGTAGTAGTAGTAGTAGTGGTGGTAGATTTAGTAGTTATAGTAGTAGTGGTTATGGTAGTAGTAGTATTGGTGGTGGTGGTGGTAGTAGTGTTAGTAGTAGTAGTAGTAGTAGTAGTAGTAGTAGTAGTAGTAGTAGTAGTAGTAGTAGTAGTAGTAGTAGTAGTAGTAGTAGTAGTAGTAAATGGTAATTGTAGTGACGGTAGTAGAAGTAGCTGCAGTAGTAGAAGTAGCAGCAGCAGTAGTAGTATTAGTAGGAGTAGTTGTGGTGGTGCTGGTGGTAGACATAGTAGTAGTGGTAGTAGTAGACGCCAAAGGAAAAAAAAGTAAAAAATTTGTAACATCACGCAGCACCAGCAACATAAGCAGGAGCAGCAGCAGCAGTAGCGGTGGTGGTGATGATGGTTGGGGTGGTAGTACTAGAAGTTGATTTTGTTGTTGTTTTAAAGTACGTGATCGTAATTATTTTATTAGCAGTAACATTACCAGCAACCGCAGATTAGAGAGCTTTGCTTGAACGGAACTTGTATAAAGTTAACACACAAAGGCACAAAGTGACACCTTTCGCTAAAATGCTCTGGTTCAAAGAACAGCAATGCCTCGTCTAGGATTTTATTTAGTTTAATTTTACCCTAGAGAAAATCATAAGTAAGGTAAGAGACGTTTGTGTTTTAGGTTTATATTATCATGTAGCAGGCCATTTGCAGAGCGTCGCTCTCATCACGGTCTGCCTGAAAGAAACTCCGTCTCTCGCTAGCTCTCCCGCCTCGTGTTCTTCCAAGAAGTCACTTGTATCCTGTGTCCATCTGATTGTTAACCCCTGCATCTCCTTCATTGCACAATGAATTCTGATGGTCAAAATATTTCAGCTTCCGAGAGAAGATACTGTTTATTAGCCAATCTTCCTTAATGTTTAGATATTTTAGACAAATGGTGCTCAACCTCCCGAACGCGATGACCCTTTAATACAGTTCCTCATGCTGTGGTGACCCCTAACCATAAAATTATTTTTGTTGCTACTTTAAAACTTCAGTGAATTTGTGTTTTTCTGTGGTCTTAGGCGACCCCTGTGAAAGGGTCGTTCGACCGACACACACACACAAAAATGGCTACGATCCACAGGTTGAGAACCGCTGTGTTAGAATGTCAGTAGTTCTTCTCTTCTTTGTCCATGGTATTCTGATAATCTGTCAGCTCAAAGAGCTGGAAGATATTCAGTCTATGACTGGCATCCTTGTACAGCTACAAGAAAGCTGAATGCTGTAAAAATGTTTGCTTTGATTTGTTTGCTGGTGCTTAACCGTAGACTTTGATTGCTGTTTAATCTTTGCATTAGTTATAAGACAGAGAAAATGACGCTACGTTGAACAGACATTGAGAAGAATCCAGCAGAAAATCACCAAACAGGTATTCTTCTTTCTTTTGTCAAAATCTGCTTGTGCCGCTAGGCGTCGCAGTCTATCAGATGATCGGCAACCGAGCCAGGGCGCGCTCAGTCGCTTCATATGCCGTGATGTTATGAAGTCTCAAGTTGTCAGTGACTCCTTCAATCCATGTTCTTCTTGGTCTTCCCCTGCCTCTTGGTGTTTCGATTTTCATGTTGTATGTTCTTGATGCTGGCATCAGGTATTAAAATGTAAAATAAACGAACCTATGAGGCGAGGACGTCCAAGAAAACCCTAGGACGAACGTTGATGAGAGAGGCTAAAGCGGCTGGACTGGACTCCATCCATGATATTAAACAGATTGTACAGACTAGAAAGGAATAAGGGAATAGAGTGGGAGCCCTGTGTGACATATCATGGCTTAATAAGATAATAAATGAATGAATGAATGAATGAATGAATGAATCTTTGCTTTCCTAAATCCACCCTCCTTCTGACTTCCTTTAAATAGTCTCCATTCCTGTTTATTATGGAGACCTAGATGTGGTGGGAGAAAATGAACAAAAGAGTAAAAAACAACAACAGAAACGATTTACTTACGTTATTAATATATTAAAAATATGATGTGTTCTTATAAAACATTAAGTTTCTGGCCATGGTCTTAAGCTTCTAGAGTGTAGTCATGAATACAGCCATCCGACCAGTCGAAGCCACGTCGGTGTCCAATTTTGAGGTCAAGATTTGAACATTGTCATTAACTTTTCATGGGGGAAAACTACTTTAGTAGTTTCCTTCTAAGAAGTGAGTACTCATGGAAATGCCCAATGTGCAGTGATGTTGAAATATAGCATAACAAAAACTGCCAAATATTGCCTTTATTTTACCACTTTTGCGGTGTAGGCGGGGCGGAAGGGGGGGGGGATGTGGAGTCTTAGGATTCACGGCCGCATGGCTAGTGCTGTCGCCACGACTCTGCAGGTGAGGATTTTTTTGCCCCCGACAGAATAAAATCCCCAGCCTTACCGAGGATTCGAACTCGGGTCTCCAGCATGAGAATCCAGCGTTCTACCTGTTCAGCCAGCCGCTCCTCGAGCCTGTAACACAAACATATTTCCCTTTGATGACAACGTTTATGATATTTTTGTGTGTGTTTTGCTTTGCAGTATACAACAGTCAACGGCGAGACTGTCGAATCAATATTCAAAAGAGACGGCATAAGAATGAATTAAACCATCTCTAGCGCATGTGTTGAGCCTGAAGCGACCTATCGGAGTCATTTCTGTGCTGTCTGTCCGCATATTTATTTGTCTTCTAGAAAACGAAAGAATAATATAAACAGTAGTCACTTGAACGAATTGTTTCGATCTTGCTTCATTCTTGAATATGAATATCCAGTGGTACTTCCAAGGCCCAAATTATTGCCTGAAATACTTTGCAAAGAGAAGGGTAATCTCAAACACCACACAAACAGTCTAAACACCTTTAACAAGAAATATAATTTAAAAATAAATACTGTAGAAAACCCTGAAATAATGACAGTAAATAGAATACCAGTTCAACATGTCATAACTGTCGAAGTAGAGATATTAAAACAAGCTAAGAAGTGAACAAACCTAGACAGTGCACCAGGATGGCGGATTGAACTGAGAAATAAAAAACAGAATAAAGAAGGCCAAAAACGTAGATTACCAAATCCCGCTACTTTTGATGCATCAAAGTATCAACATAATCATCACCAAGTACCTTGCCGACTGGAGTGGGCGATCATGCATCTCCACAATCTGCTACCTGCAACTCCATGTATCAGTTTGTGTGTTGACAGCCCTCCATGGCATGACAAAAGACTGTTAAGTATCATCCCACGTTAATTTCCTCTGTCTCTCTTACTACAAATCTTTCCAGTGGTCACAACATGTTCCCCCATTCCGTCTTCTCATAACATAACCACAAAATGATGGCTGTCTCTTTGTGAAGTTTGTGATGCTATAGCATCTAGCACCTTCCTCTTTAAAAACATCTGGTGGCTTTTCTTAGCTGTCCAATGATTCTAAAGATTGTTCTGTAAAACCAAATCTACAAGGCCACGAGATATTGTTCGGTTTACTTATTAATTGTCCAGGATTCACAGCCGTTTAGATCCTTTAGTTTAGTTATATCTTTTAGTTTGTCGGGAAAGTGGGTTATATTTGCCAATTTCTTATTCACGTTATTAATAACTGCACTAAAAAAAAAAAAAAAAATAGATTCTGATAGGAATGTACGTATGCAGTATTGGTGGCGTCTCTGGCTTGGGCGTTGCGAAAACACTTCGTAATGCCAGGTTGCCTGTTTCAAACTGAGCTTCATGGGATTAAGCAGCAGAGCGTCGTGCGTTAGTTTTCTTCTTCTTGTTCTTGTTCTTTTTCTTCTTCTTCTTTGCGTTCGATTTCGTATGCTCAGATCAGACCATCAGGTGGGTTACCTCTATGTACTCGAATCAACAGCAGGTCCTTCATGGTTCCCGGTAGCTTGCTCAGCACACTTTGCTCTCGAGACCAGGTTTCTTTTAGAAGTTGCACATACAGGGGCATGTCTGCAGAATGTGCTCCGGTATCTATAGTCTTGGCGTTTGTTTCAACATAGCTATCGAGAAAGGATGGTTCAATGGCATTTACTGAAAGTAAATCTACCTGTGAAAACCGAAATGGATTAGTTCTTAATGATTAATAATAATAAATTATAAAATTTATTTGGGAGGGGAGGGGACTGATGAGGGCGGGGTGGGGTGAGGGGGGAGTGACGGGATGGGGGGGGGGGGGGGGGGGGGGGGGGGAGGGGGGGGGGACTGACTTGCTTGAGAAGTCTCTAACACCACAAGTGATGTGTTAACTAGACATCTGCTAGCGAAACCAGCGGCATTGGGTTCGAATACGAACTGGGGGGATCTCTTAAAAAAATATTATTGGCTTCCAGATCGACCCAGCCCGAAATGAGTACTAGGAAATATCCTGAGAAGTAAGGATGGCAAGTGCCACGATAATTAACTCACTAACTTAGTGTCGACTGGTCTATGCAAATTTGAGTCTATCGTCATCTACTCAATGCCCCGTTGACAGGGAAAGGGTGTGTGTGTGTGTGTGTGTGTGTGTGTGTGCGCGCGCGCGAGCGCCTTGTATGCTTTTATAGCCGATACATCTTCACTATCATGTATCATGTATCATGTATCTACCTTCGCAATGGTCGACATCTGCCTCGTTTTTCCAAAACCGTAAACTTTATTTAGGAGTTATAACCAAATTCACCCTTTTTTTTTTTTCAAGAGTCTTTTCAAGGCATTTTGTCGTGTTCAGTGTTATACTGGGCATACCATCAAAGATCGTACACGATCACCATAATTATGGATAAGCTCAATGTTCTTGTCTCATCCATGTTGTCAGGCCATCCAGGCATTTATCTGTTTGTCTTCCTTTTGTACTCTTTCTATATATCTTGCCTGTTGTTACCAAGTGCTCAAGTATATTTTTGCTCACATCCTGCCGTCATCTATCTGTTTTAATAAGTTCACGATTTTCATCCGCCCTATCTTCTACATCGGCCAGAATCCCTGCTGTGAATCTGTTTCTTGACTAGCCGCACAGTAAGGTTAATAGATCTTTTTTTCCTTCACCAGGTACGCAGTCTCAGTATGTTTTTGTTACTTCGAACGCTACTGTAACAGACACTTTGTGCTAAATGGTACTTTGTTTTAAGCTGCACTTTGTGTCAAGTGGTACTTTGTGATAAGTTGCACTTTGTGCTAAGTATTACTTCAGACATTTTGTGTTGAAAACAGATTCTGCCTTAAAAATCTCATATATATTTCGATCTAGTTGCTTTTTATTAGATGCTCTGTCTTTCAGTGTAGTTCTATCAGTGTGTTTTATATATTCCCGTCATTATATTCTATATATCCCCGTCAGTGTGTTCTATATATCCCCGTCAGTCTGTTCTAAATATCTCTACCAGTGTGTTCTATATATCCCCGTTAGTGTGTTCTATATACCCCCGTTAGTGTGTTCTATATACCCCCGTCAGTGTGTTCTATATACCCCCGTTAGTGTGTTCTATATATCCCCGTTAGTGTGTTCTATATACCCCCGTTAGTGTGTTCTATATACCCCCGTTAGTGTGTTCTATATACCCCCGTTAGTGTGTTTCTATATACCCCGTTAGTGTGTTCTATATACCCCCCGTTAGTGTGTTCTATATATACCCCCGTTAGTGTGTTCTATATACCCCCGTTTCTAGTGTGTTTCTATATACCCCCGTTAGTGTGTTCTATATACCCCCGTTAGTGTGTTCTATATATCCCCGTTAGTGTGTTCTATATAACCCCGTATGTGTTCTATATATCCCCGTTAGTGTGTTCTATATATCCCCGTTAGTGTGTTCTATATACCCCCCGTTAGTGTGTTCTATATATCCCCGTTAGTGTGTTCTATATACCCCCGTTAGTGTGTTTTCTATATACCCCCGTTAGTGTGTTCTATATACCCCCGTTAGTGTGTTCTATATACCCCCGTTAGTGTGTTCTATATACCCCCGTTAGTGTGTTCTATATACCCCCGTTAGTGTGTTCTATATACCCCCGTTAGTGTGTTCTATATACCCCCGTTAGTGTGTTCTATATACCCCCGTTAGTGTGTTCTATATACCCCCGTTAGTGTGTTCTATATACCCCCGTTAGTGTGTTCTATATACCCCCGTTAGTGTGTTCTATATACCCCCGTTAGTGTGTTCTATATACCCCCGTTAGTGTGTTCTATATACCCCCGTTAGTGTGTTCTATATACCCCCGTTAGTATGTTCTATATACCCCCGTTAGTGTGTTCTATATACCCCCGTTAGTGTGTTCTATATACCCCCGTTAGTGTGTTCTATATACCCCCGTTAGTGTGTTCTATATACCCCCGTTAGTGTGTTCTATATACCCCCGTTAGTGTGTTCTATATATACCCCCGTTAGTGTGTTCTATATACCCCCCGTTAGTGTGTTCTATATACCCCCGTTAGTGTGTTCTATATACCCCCGTTAGTGTGTTCTATATACCCCCGTTAGTGTGTTCTATATACCCCCGTTAGTGTGTTCTATATACCCCCCGTTGTGTTCTATATACCCCGTGTGTGTCTATATATATACCCCGTTAGTGTGTTCTATATACCCCCGTTAGTGTGTTCTATATACCCCCGTTAGTGTGTTCTATATACCCCCGTTAGTGTGTTCTATATACCCCCGTTAGTGTGTTTCTATATACCCCCGTTAGTGTGTTCTATATACCCCCGTTAGTGTGTTCTATATACCCCCGTTAGTGTGTTCTATATATCCCCGTTAGTGTGTTCTATATACCCCCGTTAGTGTGTTCTATATACCCCCGTTAGTGTGTTCTATATATCACCGTTAGTGTGTTCTATATACCCCCGTTAGTGTGTTCTATATACCCCCGTTAGTGTGTTCTATATATACCCCCGTTAGTGTGTTCTATATACCCCCCGTTAGTGTGTTCTATATTCCCCCGTTAGTGTGTTCTATATACCCCCGTTAGTGTGTTCTATATACCCCCGTTAGTGTGTTCTATATACCCCCGTTAGTGTGTTCTATATACCCCCGTTAGTGTGTTCTATATACCCCCGTTAGTGTGTTCTATATACCCCCGTTAGTGTGTTCTATATACCCCCGTTAGTGTGTTCTATATACCCCCGTTAGTATGTTCTATATACCCCCGTTAGTGTGTTCTATATACCCCGTTATACTATATACCCCGTTAGTGTGTTCTATATATCCCCCGTTAGTGTGTTCTATATACCCCCGTTAGTGTGTTCTATATACCCCCGTTAGTGTGTTCTATATACCCCCGTTAGTATGTTCTATATACCCCCGTTAGTGTGTTCTATATATCACCGTTAGTATGTTCTATATACCCCCGTTAGTATGTTCTATATACCCCCGTTAGTGTGTTCTATATACCCCCGTTAGTATGTTCTATATACCCCCGTTAGTGTGTTCTATATATCCCCGTTAGTGTGTTCTATATACCCCCGTTAGTGTGTTCTATATACCCCCGTTAGTGTGTTCTATATACCCCCGTTAGTGTGTTCTATATACCCCCGTTAGTGTGTGTTCTATATATCCCCGTTAGTGTGTTCTATATACCCCCGTTAGTGTGTTCTATATACCCCCGTTAGTGTGTTCTATATACCCCCGTTAGTGTGTT